CTCTCCAACTCCCTGAAAGGAGGGTGTAGCCAGGGGGGGGTCGGTCTCTTCTCCCAAGGAACAGACCATGGCACAAGAGGAAATGGCCTCAGTTGTGCCAGGGGAGGTTTAGGATGGAGATTGGGAAGAATTTCTTCCTGGAAAGGGCTGTGAAGCCTTGGCAGAGGCTGCCCAGGGCAGTGGTGGAGTCGCCATCCCTGGAGGGATTTTGGAGCCGGGCAGAGGTGGTGCTGAGGGACATGGGTCAGTGGTGGGTTTGTCAGTGGTGGGTTGATTGTTGGACTCCATGGTCTTGAAAGGCCCCTTCCAATCTCCATCTTCTATTATTCAACCTGCAGCGACAGGATCCCCATGAACCGCCTCCCAGAGCCCATCTCGCTCATTTTTGCAGCCAGAAGGGACCAGAGACATCACTGCTGGCTCAGCTGTGGGGCCAGAAAAGGACCTGGGGGTGTTGGTCAACAGAGGCTGAGTAGTTTTGGGTCCCTCCCGACAGGAAAGACCTTGAGGGGCTGGAGCGTGTCCAGAGAAGGGCAATGGAGCTGGTGAGGGGTCTGGGACACAAGGAGAAAGGTCTGGAGAACTTCTGACAGGAGCTGGGGGTGTTCAGCCTGGAGAAAAGGGGGCTGAGGGGAAACTGTCTTGCTCTCTCCAACTCCCTGAAAGGAGGGTGTAGCCAGGGGGGGGTCGGTCTCTTCTCCCAAGGAACAGACCATGGCACAAGAGGAAATGGCCTCAGTTGTGCCAGGGGAGGTTTAGGATGGAGCTTGGGAAGAATTTCTTCCTGGAAAGGGCTGTGAAGCCTTGGCAGAGGCTGCCCAGGGCAGTGGTGGAGTCGCCATCCCTGGAGGGATTTTGGAGCCGGGCAGAGGTGGTGCTGAGGGACATGGGTCAGTGGTGGGTTTGTCAGTGGTGGGTTGATTGTTGGACTCCATGGTCTTGAAAGGCCCCTTCCAATCTCCATCTTCTATTATTCAACCTGCAGCGACAGGATCCCCATGAACCGCCTCCCAGAGCCCATCTCGCTCATTTTTGCAGCCAGAAGGGACCAGAGACATCACTGCTGGCTCAGCTGTGGGGCCAGGGCTGTCCTCAGTGGGGTGAGAGCACCCATTGCTCACCCAGAGCTTGGTGCAGGGTGGTCCCTCTCTCCACAAAGCTTTTGTTGGGACCAGGATTCATGCCAGGCTCCATCTCCCTTTCCAGGTTATCTTATCTTTGATGGCCACATGCCCCAAAACACCCGTTACTGTCACCCCGTTTTCCCACTTAGTGGCTTTGCTCTCCTGGCCCGTTTGCTGGGAAAACCAGGCAGTGAAATAAGGAGCAGAAATAGCGGTTTGGGTTTTCTGGGAGACAGACCTCTGCCGCCTTCGCTCAGCCCCAGCAGCAGTAGCAGCTGCTGAAAGAGCTCAACCTAAAACCATGATCTACTGATGAAAGAGTCAGTGTTTCTCCCTCAGCTCCCCCCGTTCCAGCCACTGAGTCATCTTCTGCTCTTGTCAGCGTTTCCGCCTCCTTTTCTCTGCGTCTTCCAGGGGACGCTGGGTTAGATCCCCCACCCTCTGCTGCACTCCAGCTCCTGGCTGTTCCCCATTTTTCTCTGCGTCTTCCAGGGGACGCTGGGTTGGATCCCCCATCCTCTGCTGCACCAGCTCCTGGCTGTTTCCCAGGATTGGCTGGAGAGCAGCCCTGAGAAGGACTTGGGGGTGTTGGTGGGTGAGAAGCTCAACATGAGCTGGCAACATGGGCTGGCAGCCCAGAAAGCCCCCCCCCGACCCTGGGCTGCATCCCCAGCAGCATGGCCAGCAGGGCCGGGGGGGGGATTCTGCCCCTCTGCTCCCCTCTGGGGAGACACCCCCCACCCAGTGCTGCCTCCAGCTCTGGGGCCACCAACAGCAGAAGGACATGGAGCTGTTGGATGGGGCCACAGGAGGCCATGGAGATGCTGGAAGGGATGGAGCCCCTCTGCTGGGAGGGGATACTGAGAGAGTTGGGGGGGTTCAACCTGGAGAAGAGAAGGCTCCAGGGAGACCTTGGAGCTCCTTCCAGTGCCTCAAGGTTGGGGCGGGCTCCAGGAAAGCTGGGGAGGGACTCTTGATCACGGGGGGGAGCCCTAGAAGGAGGGGCAATGATTTTAAGTTTAAAGAGGGAAAATTGAGATGAGATATTAGGGAGGAATTTCTAATTATGAGGGTGTTGAGAGCCTGGCCCAGGTTGCCCCAAGAAGCTGTGGCTGCCCCATCCCTGGAGGGGTTCAAGGCCAGGTTGGAGGGGGCTTAGAGCAACCTGGTGTGGTGGGAGGTGTCCCTGCCCAGGGCAGGGGGGGGCACTGGGGGGGCTTTAAGGTCCCTTCTCACCCAAACCCTTCCATGATTCTATGATTAGGTGTATTTTTCTCATGGCTGATGCACTGGCTCTGCCTTTCTTTGGCTATTACCATCACACCTGGAGCCAGCTGCTTCTACCTTTCAACAGAGCAGGTTCCTCAGAAGAAGGAAATACCGCTTGAACCAGAACAATATCACCACCACCACAGCAGGGACAGCAGAGAAAGGGATAGTTTTCAAATACAGATCCAGCAGAATCAACTCTTTTCAGCTGAGAACACTTTTGCAGGATGGGAACAGGTCGTGAATTGTCCAGTGATCTACCAAGCTGGTGGCCCCCTCTGAAAGACTGTGGTGAGACTGCGATCGAGTCTACGTCAGGAGCGAAAAGGAAGCTCATCACGGGAGGAAACCAAAGGAAGAGAAAGTCATTCTGCTCGGTGACTGTGGTCTCCTTCCTCTCACGCCATCTACCAGAGCTGCTGTGCTCCTGGGGCCATGCAAAGTCCTAGACCTTGCAAGAGGGACAATCAGAATGAAGCAGCCTCTTCAACCTGTCCTTTCTACAGGTGTTTCTGGGTCAGGGAAGTAACTGTAATTCCACCCAAAAGAAGGAAATGGAAGAGGTATTTCTAACCTGGGTAATTTTGGTGGTCTTGTTTTGGTACAACTTTGCAAACGGTTGCCCCAGGGCAACTGAGCGACCAGCAGTCAGAGCTGGAGAGTTAACACAGCATGTTGTGATGTGTGAAACAAACCAGGAGATGGAGGATTGGACTCTTCCATCCATATTTTCTCCTCAAGGACCGGATCCTGTAAGAAACCCCCAAGATACCTAAGATAACTCACAACTTCGGCTGTAGTCTAAGGGGCCCTCAGAGCCAGAGTCACCAAGCAGCCCAGGTCTATGTCCCTGACAGGATTCAGAGACCTCAGTCCATGACTCAAGGCCTTCTCCTCACTGTCATGGTTTCCCCTGCTCTGGACAGAAATGTTCCTCAAGCCCAACAGCTCTGTGCTTGTACCAGCTGGGCAGCCTGGCATGGCACCACTGTCAAGATCTTCAGGATGAGTCTTTTCAGGACCCAGGCCAGTAGGTGACATACAAGCACACAGCAGAAGCCACCAGGACTGGGAAAACCAGGAGACCTTCATCTGGAGAATCGGAGGGATCCTCTGTCTCTCTCGCCAGGGACAATGCTTCTTGGGTGGTGGGGAGCACAAGTGTGACTCCCCTCCTCCAAAGGGAAGACGAGAACTCAAGACTTGCCCAGTTTTAGCAGCTACGCCATCAGATACATAATCATCAGTATCATCGATGGCTGCTTTGGGAGAGACGTCTGAACTCTGTTCCCTGCTGAACGTGAGGTTGGACCTCCTTTGGACCAGAAGAAAGGTTGGCATCAGGACATCACATAGCATGTGAGAGGTGGAGTGAGAGAAGATGCAAATCTCTGCTGGTCCAGCGTCCTGGGTCCCCTGCAGAGCAAGTCAGGATGGTGGACTCACACCAGCAGGCTCCCAGCTCCCTTCACACTAAGTGAAACAGTTGGCATCAGGACATCACATAGCATGTGAGAGGTGGAGTGAGAGAAGATGCAAATCTCTGCTGGTCCAGCGTCCTGGGTCCCCTGCAGAGCAAGTCAGGATGGTGGACTCACACCAGCAGGCTCCCAGCTCCCTTCACACTAAGTGAAACAGGAGTCTGTGGGCAAGAGGTGGGAGCCACACTTTCCTTGGTATGTCTGTCCCCTGGATCCATGGCAGGACAGGAGTCTGTGGGCAAGAGGTGGGAGCCACTCTTTCCTTGGTATGTCTGTCCCCTGGATTCATGGCAAGATCAGCAGGACAAGAGGTAATGGGCACAAACTGGAACATAGAAAGTTCCATCTCAACACGAGGAGGAACTTCCTCTCTTTGAGGGTGGCAGAGTCCTGGAAGATGCTGCCCAGAGAGGTGGTGGAGTCTCCTTCTCTGGAGGTAGTCAAGCCCTACCTGGACACATTCCTGTGCAACCTGCTCTGGGTGACCCTGCTCTGGCAGGGGGTTGGACTGGGGGTGTCTCCAGAGATCCCCTTCAACCCCAGATCATTCTGTGATTCTGTTTTGTGGTTTCATACGGCTTGAATATAAGCTACTGAAGCAACCTGGGTTGGGTTTTGAGCGCTGTCCCAGCCTAGTGCCTGGTTCCTGGCTGAGAAAGGCTCAAAATGACCTTTTGAGGTGCCACCCCCCACTTGCCCGTGGCTCTGACAGTCTGAATGAAGCGGAAAGGCTCAAAATGACCTTTTGAGGTGCCTCCCCACACTTGCCAGTGGCTCTGACAGTCTGAATGAAGTGCAGTCTTCAGACAGGGGAAGTGTCACGGTGCAAATCAGCAAAGGAGTCACAGCAGGAACCTGTGAGCACAGACGCCCTGCTCCACTCAGGGCTGGGTGGAGGCAAAGCAACATGCAGCCGCAGGAAGTCTGTTTTTCGTTGCTGCGTTTCCTTCCAAAACTCACCTCTCTTAGAGAATTGGGTTTATCTTGGTCATCCTGATCTCGCCACAGCCCTGCTGGAGGGGAGGAGGCTGGTTTTCCTCTGCAGCAGCTCAACCCACGACACACAGTCACATCCTCTTAAAATGAAGCAACTGCTCCACCTACAACTGTTTTTTTTTTAAAAAAAAGAGTGAATAAAACAGAAAGTAGAAGAACTGGAGGGCAGAGACACGTGAGCACAGCGCAGGCTTCAAATGGATCAAAATGCCGTGCCTTTTCCTTCTGTAGGCCTTATTCCAATGAAATAAGAGGAACCACCATAATTTATTCCCGTTTTCCAATCAGTTCTAAAAATTCCCTGTGTCACATCTTTGAGATGGGAATTCTTTGGGCAGCCAGCCTCTGTGCAGAGCTCCTGTTCCAGCCTGGAGAAAAGGAGGCTGAGGGGAGAGAGACCTTCTCGTTCTCTCCAACTCCCTGAAAGGAGGCTGGAGCCAGGGGGGGTCGGTCTCTGCTCCCAAGGAACAGGCCATGGGACAAGAGGAAACGGCCTCAAGTTGCACCAGGGGAGGTTTAGGATGGAGATTGGGAAAAATGTCTTCACCTAAAGGGTTGTCAAGCCTTGGAAGAGGTGACTCCACCAGGGCAGTGGTGGAGTCACCATCCCTGGAGGGATTTCAAGGCCAGGCAGATGCAATGTTGAGGGACATGGGTCAGTGGTGGGTTTGTCAGTGTTGGGTTGATGGTTGGACTCCATGGTCTGAAAGGTCCCTTCCAACATCAATTCCAACAATTCTATCACTCTATGAATCAACAACCTCATGGGGGAAGTGACACAGTGGTCCAGATGAAATAAATAACTGAACTTCCAGGCGCTTCATGCCACCAGAGCTCCTGGGATCTCTTTCTGAGACTCACGAGGACTAGACTCAGAAGAAGGGTAACTCGCAGGCTGGATGGTTACGCTCTCAGGGTGCAAAAACCTGACATTTCCGTTGCAGTGCTGTATTCGCCTCAGTTTCCCGTTTCCTATGGGTGTTCAGGTGGTGGCACAGGGCTGATCTTCTCAGCGTCATCTCCTGCAGGCGGGTGGGCTTCTCAGGGTGGTTGTGGGGGAAGGAAAGAGGCACTTCACGGGCCCTGTGCAGAAAAGGAAGATTGCTGTAAAGGATAAAGGCCAGATATTATCACACCATGTCAGAGTCACAAGCTGCTGGTCGGCTGCTGGTTTCCAAGACATTCGGAGCAGGTTTGCAGAGGAAATACTGATGTTTTGGGTTGTGTGGTGCAGATGAACCTCAGTGGAGCCTTGGGTGCCGCAGCCCACGAGCCTGACCTGGCCTCCCAGCTCTTTCCCTTGTTGTTGTGAGGAGCAAGGGCTGCAGGAGGAGATCGTGGTTGCCCACAAGGGCAGGAAGGGGGCTCCCCCCTTACAGAGGGATGGTGCCCCCTCATTGACATTTTCAGTTCTGATGTTGTAAGGGTGGTCATGAGACTCCCACCTAGAGTCCTGCCTAAAAATCAGAAGGACATGGAGCTGTTGGAGCAGGGCCAGAGGAGCCCCCGGAGATGCTGGGGGGGCTGGAGCCCCTCTGCTGGGATGGGGGGCTGAGAGAGTTGGGGGGGTTCAGCCTGGAGAAGAGAAGGCTCCAGGGAGACCTTGGAGCCCCTTCCAGTCCCTAAAGGGGGGGGGGCTCCAGGAAAACTGGGGAGGGACTCTTGATCACGGGGGGGAGCCCTAGAAGGAGGGGCAATGGTTTTAAGTTGAAAGAGGGGAAATTGAGATGAGATATTAAGGAGGAATTTCTCATTATGAGGGTGAGGAGAGCCTGGCTCAGGTTTCCTCGAGAAGCTGTGGCTGCCCCATCCCTGGAGGGGTTCAAGGCCAGGTTGGAAGGGGCTTGGAGCAACCTGGGCTGGTGGGAGGTGTCCCAGCAGGATGGTGGGACATCAGACTGGATGGTCTTTAAGGCCCCTTCCCACCGAAGCCATTTTGTGATTCTGTGGACCTTTTTGAAATCCCCAGAAGTGGGATGTGTGCCCTTCATGTCACTTTCAGCTGGGGCTCACCACCGAGGATGGTGGCTCAGTGTCCCCAGGCCTTCAGCGCCCCTCAGGGTCTGTGTGTCCCCCCGTGTCCCCTCCCATCCCCTGCCCCATCCCCTCACAGCAGGGCCTGGGCTGGGCGCCATGCTGCTGCACAGGCCACCATGCCCTACGGCAGTGGCACTCCGTGTGGGGCCAGGGCAAAAAGGGCGCTGTGGGACCCCCTCTCGTTGTCGGATGGCATTAAATATTATGCCTGGGCCTTGCTTTTGTGCAATTAAAATCGCCACTGTTGATGGTTACACCGCTTTTGGCGGGACGAGGCCGGTTTGTCCCTTCGCGGGCTCCGTACGTCGCGCCCTGGCGCCGGCCCGAACCGCCCTTTCCCGTCCCGCCGCCTCCCCGCAGGGAGAGGGCGGGCGACCGGCCGCCATCTTGGAAGAGGGCAAACCCCGCGGCCTTCCCCGGTGGGCTTGTTCCCCGGGAGGAGACGGGGGAGAGAGGCGGAGACGGGGGAGAGAGGCGGGGACGGAGGAAGGGACGAGTCTCCGCTAACGGTGGAAAGCGGCGCGGAAGTCGTGTCGGTGGGGGAAAGGGGCCAAAGAAGGTGGCGGTGCCCGGAGGCAAGATGTCGGCCGCAGCCTCGGCCGGAGGGGAGAACTACGGCGGCGCAGCGGGGTCAGCGCCGTTGGCGGGAGCGGGAAGCTGTGGGACCGCGCTCGGCGCTGAGGAGCCTTTGGGAGACCCGCGCTAAAGGAGGCCGACCGCCGCCATGCACGTCGTTAAGCGGGGTGAGAGGGGTCTCCCCTCGGTACCGAGAGGAGGGGATGGGGTCACCCCCTCTGCTTTGCGCGGTCTCTGTGGCGGTACTGGATTTGAGGGGACGGGACCCTCTCAGCTTCGGGTTGGTCTCATGGCGCTTGGTGTGAGGGGATCGGACCCCCTCTCCTTTGGGGGGGTCTCTCATGGCACTTGGTGTGAGGGGATGGGACCCCCTCGGCTTTGGTGGGGGGGTCTCATAATATTGAATGTGAGGAGATGGTACCCCCTCTCCTTTGGGGGGGGTCTCTCATGGCACCTGTTGTGAGGGAATGGGACCCCCTCTGCTTTGGGGGGTCCCTCTCATGGCACCAGGTGTAAGGGGATGGGACCCCCTCTCATTTGGGGGGTCCTTCTAATGGCACCGGGTGTAAGGGGATGGGACCCCCTCTCATGGCACCAAATGTAAGGGGATGGGACCCCTTCTCATTTGGGGGGTCCCTCTCATGGCACCAGGTGTGAGGGGATGGGACCTCCTTGGCTTTGGGGGGGGTCTCACATGTAAGGGGATGGGACCCCTTCTCATTTGGGGAGTCCCTCTCATGGCACCTGGTGTGAGGGGATGGGACCCCCTTGGCTTTGGGGGGGGTCTCACACGGCACTAAAGTGAGCAGACGAAAATCCCTCTCTTCTGTTTTTTGGGGATCCCTCATGGCACTGAGTGTGGAAGGGTGGGGTCCCCTTTGCATGACACTGAGTGTGAGGGGGTAGCACCC